AGCAGCAGCCAAAGGGAAGGCAGTATGAACCAGCCTTGGAGCCAGGGACACCTGGGCTGTAGCCTCAGCTTGGGCAAGATGCGAGGTGTGTCAGGCAAGCGCTGATGCCTTCCATGGCTCTAGTCCATGAACTGGGGCTGGTTGAACTTGACACTTACAGAGATGGCAGCTCAGCTCAGAGGCTGGGACAGCCTCTGGCAAGAAACATGGGAATATCCAGAGTTTCACAAAGAAGAGATGTTAAGTAGGACTTCCAGTAGAGCACAGTGCTAGGGACACAGCTCCTTGCCTGGAGCTGGAGATAGGAAGAAGTGAGAGCCTTTGAACCCCTCCACCCATAGCATCCCCCATTTGGGAGCTGAGCTCTTCATGTGCCACAAGAGACATCAGCCAGGCAACAGATGTTTTTAAAAAGCAGAGCACATGTGACCCAGAGCAGGTTTACCTTGTACCTGCCAGCCAGAAAGGCTGGACTGAAGCAGTGGAGGAACCTGTCAGCCTCTCTTCTCCAACCACCCACTCTGCATCGCTGCAGTCCTAGGCAGGACTGTGATTTCCTGAGGCATGGCTGCTCATGCCTCCAGCAAGCAGGGTACAAGGGGCATCAAAGCCACACTGAGGCCTTCGGGCACTAAATGAAACCAGGAAGGCTGGGAGGAGGGAAGTGAGACGTTTGGGATTGCACAAGACAAATCTGCGTGTGCTGGCGAGGAGCAGGATCGGAGCGGGTGGTGTGGCGCACGCACAGCACCACAGCACACGCTCATCACGAGCTCGGAAGTGTGGTATTTGATGGGTTTGGCTCCTCATGGCTCAGGTGTAGGCAGATGTGCATGGCATAGCCCCCCAGGTATACCTAGGGCTCCCAAGGCAAGGAGTTGTCCTTCCCCAGCGGTTACATCTGCTGGCTGAAAAAGCCCTCACGGATGATTACAAGGGGTCACTTTTTTCCATCTTGGATGCTCTTCCAGTTGTTCCTTCTTTCCATCATCCCTTGTAACAGCAGGTGATACCCACTGTCACTGTCAGGTAAAATGTGTCTGCAGGGACAGAAAACTGCACTGGGCTTGAGTCTACAGGGTGGAAGAACAAGAGCAGGCATGGGGTGACTTATGGTGACAGAAGAGGCACAAGCTGGGACGAAACAACATGAAAGGGGAAAATCAGCTGAATTTCAAGGGAGAGGGAGGAAGCCAAGTTCATTGCCCTGCAATTGCCTGCCCCAAGCAAGAAACATTTTGAGCAGCTTCTGTACACTGGCCCAGGTACCAAAAGCCAGAAAACACCCCCACAAACCACTGCTCAGAAGCCACAAACTACTGGAGGAGAAGAGCCAGACCTTGGACCTGCAGTGACTGCCAACTGGCAAAGAAATGCAAACACTGATTATAGCCCTTGTCTGTGGCCAGAGAGAAAGGGAATGCTTCCCAACCAAATCATCCCTTCTGGTTGCATGAAGAAGAGGAGGGTCAGATCCCTTCCCAATGCCAAAGCCAGCAGTCACCCTAATCCCCAAGCACGCAGCCATGCTCTGTACTCCAGCACTCTCCATTCATCATCCCATTTTCTCACTGCAGTCAGTCTCTGATGCCTCGTGAGATTAATAAACAAACAACTAAATCAATACAGTCATCTCAATCCCTGCAGGCCACAGGCTGTGAACAATATAACTTCTGCCTGAAAGAAGTATCAGTGTGGAAGAGATGCTCCCAAGAGAAGTCCAGCACCCCAGCTCTCAGCTCTCCAAAAATTAACACACGCACATGGGAACAGTTCAGCAGTGCCCTGGGAAATAGAGACATTGAGCAGGTCCTCCCCTCCTACAGCTTCCTTATCGACTCCTCAGGCATTGTCAGATTGCTTGACCCTCCCTGAAATCCAGGCACTGAAGGAGTATTTTCATTCTTCATGACAGGCTGGGAAATAATCTGAGTTTATCGACTCGACACAGGGGCTGCTCTGCAAACATCAGTCCCCTGATGGGGCTGATGGCCTCGGGCTCTTCAGTCCTGTCGGCGGGGAACCTCACCAGAATCTCTCTGAGGCAGAGAAGCGTGTGTATGAGAATGAAAGTAAATTAGGTCTGAACAAGATTAACAGGGATTTAATTGAACTATGTGAACTGGAACTCCAGTCACGAGCTACTTATTAGCCTGTCTCAAGGGATTGTGCTGCTGGCACTGGAGGAGCACAAGGATGCATTGTGAGCATGGGACAGCTCAAGGGGACAGCGATGGCCACAGCTCTTGAGATGAGTGTGGCCAGAGGGGCAGAGCTGCTTGAACACGACCAAAAATGAAGCAAGGAACTCTCAGCTCCCAGCCGTGTTTCTTCAGAGCTGAGGCTTGGTCTGCTGAGGGACAGGAGGAACTCAACAACATACACTGGCCGAGGAAACCCAGGCCTCAGCCAGCTCCTGGCTTTGGGTGGCAGAGCAAGGTGTGGCCTGCTGAGGTGCTGCCTACTGGCAGGTATCTGGAGACAGAGCTTTGAAAACCTCCCCTTCAATAAAATTGACTTAATGAGGTCTTGAGCTCCCTTTGGGATGTTAATTACAAAACAGCCTGGAGAAAAGTGGTTGGGAATTAAAGGAGTCACCACACTAGTCCTTCTCTGTTTTGGTTTTCTGGTGAGAGAACCAACAGACACTTGCCAGAGCTTGGCTACCACACCAGTCTCACCGCAGCCAAGAAGAGCCACCAGACAACGCCATGCTCCAGCCATGCAAACCTGAGCTACAGTCACACACCGACAGGCTCCTGAAAATCCCTATTACCAGCCTTCTGAATCCCCACCTAATCCCCTGCTGCATTATTAACAAGTGATGCCTTTATTATGGCTAACTTCATGGGGGTTCTCAGAGCCAAAATCTCTCATGAGAGGCAAATTGATTTAGTCACTGCATCGTTTCCTCCTTCCTTCCAGGGAGGTGAAGCTGTACAGGGAGATAGTTTGCTACTTCCAAGTCAAACACAGATACAGATGCACACATGCCTGACAGTATTAACTAACCAATTTCTCACAGATTAAAGGATCTGAAAGGATTTCCCTTAATGGATCATTTTAATGAATAGGTTATTTATGTCTCTGTGTTCCTATAGTCTAAGAGTTCTGGCAGCTTTCACAGTGAGTGTGAGGGAAGAGGCAGCACAACTTTAAGAACAGATTTCTTTTTAAACAAAGAGATTGCATTTATTACACATTTCAAGACAAACTAAAATACAGGAGATACTGGTAACCTCTAACATACTCTTAAGTTCAGCAAACAAAAGCATTCAAATAGGTATAAAGCTGTTAGGAACACACTGAGGACTTTACTTTAATCCCTCTTCCCCCCAACGAAACCAACCCCCAATATCCATGATTTCTATGAGCGAGGCAGCCTGCAAATAGCTGGATGTAGACATTGATGTAGTAGCTGCTATTTCAGGTAGCAGCCACACAGTGCCCACTGCTAACTGGTTCTGAGCTGTAGAAATGCTTCTGTATTTCAGGTAATGTCTGTGCTGCTCTTTCAACAGCTGTGATTCCGTCAAAGCATTAACCCCCTGCTTTAGGTAACCTGCAGAATACTGGAGTTGTTGGATAAGACAAATGCCACCCTCCTGTATTAAAATGGAAGGAGTCATCTGCAGTACCTACCCAGGGCAGTGGCAATGCTTGTGTTTTTCCTGCAGATAAGAGACAGAGCACAGGTCTGTCATGGAAACTCATAGCACAACATTGTTGTTTGTTATTTGCGTGGGAAATTTTGGTAGCATTTCTTTGTACTGGGATCTCAAAGTAACTTTAGTTCGCTTGTGTCTCCCATGCTTTGTTCTGTCTGCCTGATACTGCTGTCATGTAGCTGAGAAACAAAGAAAAATGAAAAGAAAATGCAGAATTTAAAGCAGAACTCTAAGCAATGCAAGTTGGTGTCAGCACTCTGGCTGAGAGAAGCAGAGAGCCTGGAGCAGGGAAGCAGTGAGAGGTCAGGATCACACTGGTACTGGGTCCATCTGTCTCCCTCACCAAAAGCAAAAGTGAACAGAGCATGTGGCTGTTCTCAGCACTGGTGGAAGGTGTTGTTGTTGAGCTGCTGTTGCAGAGCACACATGTGGGCTCACAAGGCATCTGTGACTCGAGGATGGGAGCCTGTGTATGCAAAAAGGATGGCAGACTTGCAGCCCTTCCTTCAAAGCCGCTCTGAACCCTGGGTGCGCCTCAGAGAGCAGGTTCTCCTCCCATTGACTCACTCCTGATCAAACAAACCAGGACATGAGTTGGCATCAGGAAGCTCGAGCTGCCCCACAGAGACTCTGTGGCTACGTCACCACCTATCTCCTTCCAGTCCTGTCTAGCCATATTTAAATCTAGTGCTAGATTGTCCCCGGGCCTGGAGAGCCAGAGCCTGAAGGAACATAGTGTCTGTGTCTCTTGCCATACAGTCATGCTACACGGCCAGCTTGCCACCCCTTGGATCTTAAAATACCACATCTCCTCAGGCTGAGATCATATTTACCCTCAGGAAGAACTGAGCCAGAGGAGATGCAGCAGACTGGAGCAGGGAAGGCTGGGAGGGAAGCTGCAAGTGCTATGAACAGGGCCCATGGTCAGGGATCAGCCTGCTGGCAGGAGGGTTTGTCCCTGCTACAGCAAGGCAGTGCTGCCTGATACACCACCACTGCAGCATTCCCAGGCTCCCACCTCAGCAGCTTCTCTTCAACATGCAGTACCTGGTCTTCCCAAGCTCTCATGAACAACCCCATTAGCACAGCCATTAAATTCTGGACCTTCCATCAAACCAATCCCTGATTCTTGTAGTCATCCCAATCCCCACCACAGCCTCAATTCCCTGAAATGTACCTGCTTTCAAAGGTGGGAATGGAAAGGAAGAGTACATGGGTGGGGAATAAGACAGAGGTAGCGACGCTGGGGAAATGAAAGCTTTCATCTCCAGCAGTCTGGAATCTGGTGAGTTATTACCTAAAGAATTAAAGAATATGACAAAGACATTATGATTAAGCCATAAAATGCAGCTATGTATTTGAGACTAGATGACAACAGAGATGAATACAAAGCTGGGTAGTGTGGTATCCTTGATCCATTTGATCCCTTTGCCTTCAAAAAACACAACACAAACGGTATCCAAAACAGCAAAGCCATGCTCCACCTTCCACAGGAACTTTACTACAAATCCCAGACAGCATGGAGGAGCCAGGACAACCTCTCTACCCATCAGCAATGACAGAAGTCACTTCAATGGTGACTGACACATTAATCATGTCAAATGAAGTCCTGGATATGTGAAATCCTCTTTGCTTGTGAGAAATCTGTGGCAGAATCCCTCCCCTTCCATTCTTCTAAGTTCCTTCTCTCTTGTCCTTGAAAGGTAAAACATGGCAATGCCAGAAAACCATTTAATAGAGTTAGTTGCCTTTGACGTTGTCTCTGAGGAAGCTTGATTGTAGGTGATTATTTGGTCTTTTGAGGCTCATCAGTCATGACTTTATCGTTTCTTTTTGGATTCCTTCTTGGGTTTCTTGCTCATCTGTGGAGCAGTTGCCTTTGGCTTCTTCACTGTCTCTGAATTATTGGGCTCAAAACTGTCCGAGTCCTACAAGAATCAATTAAGACACAGTCAGTAACTTTTGCTTACCATTTGCTGACAGCTTGCTTTGGGCATCTGAGTGTAAGCCAGAGGAAGCAAGTGCTGGGTATCTCTGCTGGAACACATTGATATCAAACTGAGGCCACATTTAATGAGACTTGAGCAGCACCATCTCTGCTCCTTCTGCATGGGCTCTTTGATGAGTGTGAGTTTATGCACAGAAACAGCTTGTTACCAGAAAGGCTGTTAAAAGCTTAAGTGTCTAAAACAGGCTTTGGAGAAGAAAAACAAACACAACTTTGAAGGGAAAAAGAAAATCAACACTAAATGAAAACTGTTTGAATTAGCAAAAGATACCATATAATCACCAGGGTGCATACAAACATTGAGAAGGTTATTTCTGCCAAACATTAATAATTATCATGTGCAAGACAAAAAATAGTCCCCAAAAGAGCAGTAAGAATATAAAGTTCAGAGCCTCTAAACCAAACCCCAAATCCAGGGAGGGAATTGCAGGCCAAGCTTTCTTCACCTGGACTAACAAAATGCTTAGATATGTTGCTTGTTTCCTTTGGGGAAGATGAGAGATAATATTGCAGCCATGGGAAATAAAGTCTAGTTATCTTGTGAAAACACGAGGGAACAGCGCCAGTCTCCTCTGAGAAAGCACACACATGCAGATTGCCTCCTTTCATTAAATGCATTTGAGTATAAATATTGCTTTAGCATCTTGGTTCCTATCAGCCTCAGTGTGCCAACTGGAAAAGGACACATAAAAAATGGCTGAGCAAGACGTGCTAGTTTCAAGCTCCCAAGCCAGTGCTCCAGATAATGGAGGGGGAAGCAGCATCTGACAGTATCCTTTTAATCAAAGAGCTTGGTTCAAACGTCTCTCAAGTTACTGGGCTATTACAGCTCACATCTGTGTGGCTTTCCAAGGAAGGAGACTTGGCTGACTTTCCACAGGCTGTAATCGGCGCACGGGGAGCTGGCAGGCTCCGCAGGGATGGAGCAACACACAGCTATTACTCAGGGATGCAGTGTGCTGCTGCCATAAAGTGAACACTGCTGCCTTCTAATGTCCAAACCAAGGTAGACTTCAAAGTCTGAGGCCTCCAAGGCAGAGAAGTTCCTCAATATCCTGCCCAGGCTCAGCCACCATTCCCAAGATCTGGAGGGGTAGACAGAGGTAAACATCTCTGGTGTTTATGGCCTTGTAAACTAGCCATATGGACAGCAAATCCAGAAGACAGTATACATATGGAGAAAACAAAAAGTAGAGCATGCAAGCATCAAAGCATGTTTGCAAACATAAACAGTAACAGGTCCTTGAGCTTTATCGTTTTAACTGGGGGCCTGGTCTTCAATTTCCCACTCCAAACCAAAGCTCTCCCTCTTTTCAGCTTTCAAGAATGGCTTTACTTAGTATTTCTCAAAAATTTATTGGGGAAACCATGGACTCTGACAGATGAGCTCTGGTGGCTGCAGGATAACAGCCTCCTCGATGATCTTGGAGGTGTTTTCCAACCTTAATGATTCTGTGATTCTAAGACTTGCAATGTCACTGCATCATGACCAGCAGCCACCTGCTCATCTCCTTGCCAGAAGCTGCAGCTCCTGGGGCAGGACAGGCAGGAGGGAGCATGCACCATGCCAGGATAGTGTCACACCACACCAGCAGCTAAAGGCGAAATAGTTGGGTCATGAACTGTGTCTTTCACACTATACCTCACCCTCAGACATTCTCTTCCCAAGACAGGCTGAAAATTTCCATGCTTCCTCTGCACAGGAGGGAGCAAACGTGACAATAAAGATAGCCTGAAAACACAGCTCCCCATGCTGAGTTGTTACTGAAAATATACCTCACACATTTAGACAAAATCTGTATCAAAGCACCAAACCTGCAGCCTGATCACCGGCACTAAAATACCTGTCCCAGCAGCACAGGCACTGCCACTCTCACAGAGCTCTTGTACCAGAAAAGCCAGGCAGATCCTCAGCCTAGAATAACAGAGTCCTGTGCGTTACCTCAACCCTTCACCTTCCCCTGTGCTAACTGCACCAAAGGACCCTTGGGCACAGGACTGGGTGCCAGGACTGAAAACTGCCTTTCTCAGGTTAGAATATACCAGAAATTTCACCTGCACCTTGTTTCCAAAAATCACACACAAACTAGAGCCCAGAGCCATTTCCTGAAAGGCAGGTCCTGCAAAGGGGACTCCCTGCCTGGCAATTAATGAAGCAAATCAGCAGCAGGATGACAATATGGGGTTGGGACAAAGCCTTCTTGTGTGCAGCCAGGAACATCATGTACATTTAGCTCCTTGCCAGTGCTTCAGCTTGCTCTTTTCACTGATATTCAGAGAGACCCTGGCTCAGGTATTTGTTCCTGCCTTTCCTATCTGGTGGTAGATCAGAAGACAAAAGCTGGAGGTGGGAAAGCTAGAGAGAAGGAAAGAGAATGAACAATGGAACTGTCACCAATCCCAGGAGCAGACTGCAATGTCTCCATTAGCTACTCAGTGTTCCCTCCCATCCTGTTTTCTCTGTCTCTGCCCATCTATATCAATATTAAAGAGCACTGCTTACTGTCTTATGGGACTTTGAAAACGGCAGGATTATGGCTAGCACACAGATCAGCTGGAAAATGGCTCCAAAGAAGAGTCCGTAGCGTAGCACATTCTCCATGAAGGTGGGCTCAGGGATCTCAGGTGGGGAGAAATCCAGCTCTGCAGCCATCCTGAGTGCACCCTCCTCCTCTGCTGCTCTCAACAAAACTGGTTACTGCAAGGAGGAAAAAAAAGAGTAGTTATTTGCATCATGCTTTCTGGTATTCACTTTCCATTACCCAAAAATGACAGACTCCCTCAAGCAGGTTTTTTGAAGATATTCTTGATACAATAACAAAGAGGAGAATGAAAATTGTGTTTCATTTGGATATTTACCTGTTACCACCTGTCTACAAAAATAGTCCTCAAATGCTGGTATTAGCCCATTGCAGGTGAGGGGAAGACACACAAAATATGAATAATATTCATGAAAAAATAAGGGAGAAGTTTAATAAGCAGAAATATACTTCTCCCTGAAGTGGATCAAGCATGCAAGGTGACTATTACTCATTTTCACTTACGCTGTGTATGTGGTCATGATGCCGAGAAAAGGCTGGAAAAGAACTACTCCCAGCCTTGTATCTCTGAGTAGCAGGGATTTGTTTATTCAGCACGGGGCACAAGGGGGATCGTTCCACCAAACTTGTGCAACCAGGGACAAAAACTTCACAGTTTTTATACATTAAATGTTCATACATATTCATTCTTTCCAGGAATGGGTGGTTATTATTATAATTAGTTCTTGGAAGTCATTATCATATACTCCTCCTCTGTCTCCTCCCTCTTGGCATCAGTCCCGTGGTCCTGGTGGTCCTTCGGTGGTCGTGAAGATGAAGCTCCTCCTCTTCCTCAGTACCCTTTGGACACCCTTATTATGCAACCATTTACCCCTTTGTACAGTTTTGCATGCCTTGCTGACCTTGCCTCTATCTTGAACATTTTGTTTCTTTATTCCACATCCCACATGGTCTTAGTTTTCCTTCCACTGCCAAGGTTTGAGTCTAGTTAGTTCTACTGCCTTATAGATAAGGTGCATCGTTTCACCAACCAAGCCAAAACAATACCATTAGTGCAGCTTTTTATCTGTACTATGCAATCCTTGCTGTCTTGCAAATTAAGCTCAAATAGTGCTATTAGTAAAGTTCTCCTTTATGCTTTCAGCTTTAACTGTTCAATTCCTGCTTTCAGTCTGCTTCTCAGTATCAGTCACAGCCTTGTTGTTTGAGATGCTGTACAAACCCAACCACTACACAACCAAACCACACAAAAGCAGAGCTGATGAAGGCAGAGCAATGAGTTATGTGTATAAATTCAAGCATGGCTTTATGAGCCCCACACACCTTGTGATGGTCACGCAGGTAGTTTGTGGCAGAGTTAAATATTGATCCCCTGAGCCCCAAGCTTTTCAGCAAGGAGCCCATCCTTCCTTCCTCCCTTAATCTTTTGCTAATGGAGTTGTCAATTCATTCTGTGAATGACTAATGGATTTCTACAACAACAGAGAACTCTCCTGCCAGAATTGCTGGAGTATGCCACAGGAAGTCCCCAAAGGGAAATCCAATTAGTCTGAGATGCCAACACACTCAGCTATGATCACTGCCTTACTCGGTTCTCCTGACCTGGACGATCCCAGTGTGTTCTCCCTGAATCAGCACTGCTTACTGATACTGACAATTCCCTCTATCACTAAAGCTTGCTGTGAGATATGTTGTTATCTGCCTCCTAGAAATTATCTCCAGAGCAGGCTCTGTGTTTCTTAGGCTACAATCTGCACATGTGACCAAGGTCAGGACAGTAAACTTAGTGTATAATTCCAGCAAAGTTAGTGTGGATAAAGTTGAGAATCAATCAACAACTCGACGCTGTTGCGTAAAAGGCAAATACCCCTTGAGGACATACTAAAAGGAGTGGTATGGAAATGACAAGAAATAATTATTTTGTTTTCATTCATCTGAAGTACAGAATATTATTTTGAATTTTAAAAGACAGGAAAACATTCCTAACTGTACAGACTGCCAGTCACTGGAATAGAGACTGTGAAATCCCTGCTACTGGTGAGTGAGAGGAGCAGGTCAGATAAGCACTGCCTGGGTACATATAATCCTGACTTTGAACCAGGAGATAAGAATAGGTGACCTCTCAGGCTCCCTTCCACGTCTGTAATTCAGTGAAAGTTTCAGATTCTGGTTAAAACTCCATCAGCAAGGGCTGTGTGGGACCTGTACATGCAGCCAGAACTCACACTGGTCCACGCAGGCTCAGCCAGTCCCATCACAGACCCAAAAGCTGCACAACAGTGTCAGCAAAGCCTGCAGAAATGTGGCTCACCCCCAGCTGCTTTTACCTTTTAAGACACCTCCTCCCCTGATCTACTAAGGCAGCAGAAAGCCTTAAGGAGCAAGAAACAGAATCATGGGAAATGTCACTCCTGAGTTACATTTTTCATTTAGCTCATCCTTATTTATCAGGAGATCTTTTGAAAACATTATTCTTGCCCTTCCCTGTCCTCAAACACAGCAGGAAGGGATGCTGCTTCGTTCCTCACCTGGAGTTTTCTCAGGATATCCTGACACACACCTGAAACACAACAGACAGAGATCAAACAGAAGAGGAAACCAATACAATGAGAACAAAAAATCTCCCTCCTCATCTTCTGCAACTCTCTCCTCCTTTCCCCTTTTCTACCTCACCTCCCTTGAGGGCATTAGTAATCCTGGAACAAATGCCAGGTGACATAACCAGCAGCAAGAGCTCTCACACAGGCTGGTAGCAGCTGCCACCACCGTTTTAAGCAGTACCCCATGAAATATACTCAGAGAAGACCTGACATCATGCTCCGACTAGTCACAGCAGAGCCTCCTTGCCTGCACAGCCAACCCACACTCTGACCATTCCCTGCCATCAGTGGAGCTGAACTAGTATTAGCAGAATTCCTGTTTGAAAAAGCTCCTGTGGTTACACAATGCCCAAAGCTGCACACACAGGAGGCTGAGCCTCCCCCAGGTGAGCAGGCCAGAGCTGATTCCTGGGTGCTCAGTGCCAGGCATGAGTCCCCGCACCCAACCCAGAGCCCGTGAAGGGAGTTTCCTCACCCAGAGCTCCACCTCCTGACACTGCCTTGCACCCAAGCCAACAGGTCCCTGGATGATAATGGAGCCTTCCTCCCCATTCCCAAGAAGCTAAGTTTCACCACCTCTTCCTTGGCTAACATCTCTTCTCCACAGGTTATCAACTGCCTTTTTCCTCAGGTGCCTCACCATGGCTACACTTACAGCAATTGTTCTTAAATTGCATTTGAAGATCAATATTCCTATTTCATACCCTGAGACGAAGTTTTCCCTGACCCTTCAGCTTATTCATTTGGTCTAATACCAAATGAATAAGCTGGAGGAGTGGGAAGATACCTCTTCTCCCCACGAGTCTGCCCATCTCACTGGAATGTAACAGCAGAAATAGGTCACAAACAGTGGAACAACTCTACAGGAACTGATTTTGACTATCTGTTTAAAAATATCCAGCCTTGTTTCTACTCTCTAAGGGTTTTACACCAAGCCAGCTGCCCCTACACAACAGGAGTTGTCCCGTAGCAGAGCCAGGGCTGGATACAGACCCAGCCAGGGGCTGCAGCTCCTGCTTTGCTCAGTGACAGCACTGAGGAGGATGTGGCTGTGCCCATGGTATAGGATCAACCCCTGTGATGCACATCCCTGTGTTTCCAGGAGTAGGGCCATGCACCAGCCACCTCAGTTCACCTTGGACAGACTCAAACCTTTCTTCTTGCTGTGCTGTATTTCCCAGCTGGCACCTTCAAGACCTGGCACTATACAAACAATTAGCACAAGACAAAGCCATGGGAACAGCTCAAGTAATACATAATTAGGTTCCTCTTGGGGTGGAGATAAAGAGCAACACTGGTGCAGAACACAGTTGTAGAATCAAGGCTGGAAGAGACCTTCAAGGTCATCCAGTCCAACCATCCACCAGCACTGCCACTGTAACCCTAAACCATGTCACCCAGCACCAGATCCAGAAGGCAACCTATTCCAGTGCCTGACATGAAAGCTTCCATCAAAAGATTAGGCAAAAAAGCTCAAGTTGGATTTTTCACATGACTCCATAAGGGGTGGGATGGATCCTGGGCAATTCCTACCACTTTTGGGGAATCATAGAATTATCAAGATTGAAAGAGACCTTTAAGATCAAGCCCAACCATCAACCTCTCACTCCCCCTAAACCTTATCTTCCAGCACCGGGTCCAGACGCCTATTAAACACCTGCAGGGCTGGTGACTCC